GGGGTCGTCAGAGGTGAGAAAAAGGGGAAATGAGTTATAGAACAAAGAGATGTGGGCAAGGTTGGGCTTCAAAAATTTTAGCAATGGGTTCTCTGCCCAGTTTCTGAGTGGGTGTGGCCATGATGGGTATGGCCTAGTCAGCCTCCTGCATCATGGGGGCGGGGGGCTCTGGAGGCTTTCTTTAAGCCTCCAGGGGGGCGAAAATGGCCTCCCCCAACTCTGGAAACTCTCCTGAAGCTGAAAATGGGCCCGTTTCTGGCCTTCCAGAACTTCCGGATGGCTCATTTCTCGCTCTCCCCGAGCCTCCGCACAGGCCTTATACTTACCTGGCATCCCAAACAAGCCACATGGGTCCTCCTGGGAGGAATGGGGTGGGAGGGGTGGAGCAGGGTGGGTGAGGCCAGCCAGGAATGGGATTTGTGGTTTTCCAAACTGGGCTGATTCTTAGGTAGAAGTTCTTGTGGGAACCCGCAGCAGCCTACCCTTGGATGTGGGTATTTTAGAGCAGAGGTTATAATACCACTTTATAAAGTCTTAGTAAGACCACACCTAGAGTATTGCATCCAGTTTTGGTCACCACACAATAAAAAAAGATGTAGAGTCTCTAGAAAAAGAGCAGAGAAGAGCAACTAGAATGATTAGGGGACTGGAGGCTAAAACATATGATCAATGGTTGCCGGTACTGGGCATGGCTAGTCTAGTGAAGAAAAGGACCAGGGGAGACATGATAGCAGTGTTCTAATATTTGTGGGGCTGCCACAGAGAGAAGGGGTCAACCTGTTTTCCAAAGCACCTGAAGGCCAGACAAGGAATAATGGATGAAAACCAAACAAGGAGAGAGTCAACCTGGAAATAAGGAGAAATTTTCTGATAGTGGGAGCAATAAAGCAATGGAACAGCTTGCTTTCAGAAGTTGTGGAAGCTTCATCACTGGAAGCTTTCAAGAAGAGATTGGACTGCCATTTGTCAGAAATTGTATAAGGTCTCTTGCTTGGGCAGGGGGCTGGACTAGATGACCTGCAAGCAGTGGTGGGATTCAGCCAGTTTGCATCACTACGGGAGAACTGGTTGTTAAGTTTCTGAATCTCACCACTGCCTACAAGGTCCGTTCCAACTCTCTTAATCTGTATCTGTACCTACCTTTCCAGCTCTGCAGATTGGCAGCAGCAGTGGTAGCAGATGGTAGCAGAGGCAAGGGGATGGTTTCGTATGTGTGCAACCTAATTCCGCACATGTGCAAATGGAGCTTTGCATGCTTGCCTGCCACTTGCGCAACCTGGTTCCCAGTGGGTTGCGGACCAGTAACAGGACGTGGACTTGGAGGCTCCTGTTTTAGAGAAGCAATTCATCTTTTGGTAAAGAATTTTGTGGAGCAAAAGTTTGCTGAAACTCCTCTTACCAGAAACTCCTCTTGCAGAAACTCCTCTTACCCTGTTAAAAGGAATACTGTATCCTGTACTATTTATTTTTATACAAGGCTATTGTAGAAAGTTTCAGTTATTCATAATCCACTGCTCGTGTGAGTGAAGGAGACAAAGAATGTAATACCCTCCTTTATCATGCCTGAATCAAAAGATTCAATAAAAGAGAACTGCATGTTGATCATTTTAGTGGTAATGATATTGAAGATATACTTACTTATCCCTAGAATAAATTTAGAAACAAATTTATAAAATCATATATTTAGAAAAAAAAATGCTTCTGATCAAGTACTCTTGTACTTTGATAAACTATCTAAGCAGAAACCCAGAGCTTAGTTGTGACCTTTGCTGACACAAAATTGTTCTGGAAAATAGAACAAATTTGTCATTGGTGTCTTGCTACCGGGGCAATAGCTACTGTGTTATCATGGTAAAAACTGCTGTACTTTTTTCTTTTAATCCAAGAATATTCCAGATAGATGTTTTAAGTGTGTTAAATACAGAGAAATTGTGGGTTTTATTTATTTATTTTAAAAAAATCAATGACATGAGTTACTTGTTTTATTTTATTGCTGATAGGAGTTTAATTCCTCTTGTAGTCAGTTTGTTGTTTTTCTTTCTTAGTGTGTATAACAACTACACACAATACTTGGAAAACCAGAAGTAAGATTTATTAGAAAGCTGTTTGAAAAAAGCTTGAGACTTCTTTGGCACAACAATAGAAGTTCTCACCGAGTTACAGATCTCAACATATTTTTATACAGTCTTACCGTTCACAGGTCCTTCCTAGCTGGGCCCAATGAAAGGCCCGGTTCTGTCACATGCTTCCTGATCACCCATTACCCCTAAAAGCATAAATTAGTTAAACCCTTTCTATCACCCAAACTTGCTAAGCAATCAATCTCATCCCTTTGATCAGTGACCTTGTTACACAAGAATTATAAAAACAACATTTGAGAGAGAAACCAATTAAGTAAAAGCAACATTCGAGAAAGTTACTTAATTAAGTAAAACAACATTGAGATAGGGAGATGTCAAAGTGGGTTTGAATTATATACATTCTTGCCCCCAGTCAAGGCCTGTCTTGACTATTCCCTTTGTTGATGGAGACTTGATAACAGATTAATTGCTTCCCTTGTTAGTTCTGTTCTCAAGCAGAGAGATATATGAAGAGAGAAAGAGGCCCTTTACAAGTTAATCTGTCTATATGTTAAGATACTAAATAGTTTTATCCTATATAAATGTATAATGTGTCTTTTATAAGCTATATAGTGTTCTACTTGATAAGAGATTGCATCTTATATTGTATTCTACTTAATGTTAAAATGGACTAGTTAGATTTGTGTTGCTAATCACCCATTTTCTGCAGCCAGTTCTCATCTTCTTGGCATTCCTATCTTGTTTTTCTGTACAATTCGGTACCTGGCACGTATCTCAAACCAGCAGCTGGTATGTCCAGGAGTCACATATTGGGCTAACATGGTTTTACTCTAGCTATATAATATTGTGGCTATACTTTAAAATACTAACTCTAGGCAAGTAAACATAGAATATAATATACAAGCTATATATGCTAGCCTATAGTATGGAAAATTGCAACCTCTTATATTGTATTTATTTATTACCTTGTTGGGTCAAACTTAGTTAACTCTTTATGCTTCTATTCTGATAATAATAACTTGAAGCCATCCCCTACATCAGCTTGGCTATAGAAGAAACCTCCAACATTGTAATCACCAGAGTCTTTTGAAGTGGGGGCTGTAATAAATATACTTGACTTGAAGATCCTGAGTGGCATTTGAAAGTGTTGCCCTATTTTTAGTAGTCCAGCCAGGTGGTGATGAAAACATGAGTTAGGTCTTTCTGCTCCAGGATAAATCCCTGGACTGTGGCAGTCTGAATTATCTGAAGCTTTCAAAGGTAAATCCAGGCAAAATGCATTGCAGTAATTTAATCTAAGTATCACTAGAATAAGGATAACTGAAATAAATACATATAAGCCCTGCCGTTAATCTTGTACAAAATTGTCCTTGAAAACAAGATGTGCACCCTATCCTTCCCCAGTCTTTAATTATTTTATATTCTATTAGTGTGAAATTGTTCACTAAGATGTACTTTTTAAGAGCCTATATCACATATAGGATTTTTTTTTAATGTTATATAACATTTCTCTACCTAAATGCCAAATAAAGTTACAGGCACAGTGTGTTCTTCCTCTTCAACTTCTGAAGAGCATGAACATTGAATCACTTATAAGAGCAGATGGCATATATTACTTATGGCAGCCAGAAATAATACTTGAAAATGTGCCACCTTTACTCCTTCTGCTATGGAGAATTTGGAGTGAGGAAAGCACCCGGGGTCATTGTGAGATGTTGAGGATTACATCTACCATATTACAAATCCTTACTCAAGAAAGGATGGGAACAGGCAAAAATTTGAAGCATTGAATCAGTCTATGCATCATTAGTACATGGAGGATTGAAAGCTGAACCAAAAGGCGGAATTGCCAACTAAGTGAGTTATAGTGATAAGAGGATGGATAACCTGCTTCTCCCCATTTTTCCTTCCTTATCAAGATAATTTAAATTCAAATTATTTATTGTCTTCACATGAGCCGAGGTGGCACAGTACTGCAGGCCACTTCAACTAACTGTTCAGTGGTTCTAATCTCACCTGCTGAAGGTTGACTCAGCCTTCCATCCTTCCGAGGTGGGTGAAATGAGAACCCAGACTGTGGGGGCAATATGCTGACTCTGTAAACCACTTAGAGAGGGCTGAAAGCCCTATGAAGCGGTATATAAGTCTAACTGCTATTGCTATTGCTATATTATTTATTATAGGAATTACAATGAATGATTAGATATTTAAAATGAAATCTGCTATAACTTAATGTTTTAAGAAATTATAATCCAAATCAAATGATATTTATAATAGACCTTGGCTGATGAGTGAAGCACATGCAACATTCAGCTTCATTTTATATAAAAAATTCCATATAAAATTCCATATAAAAATATTGTATTTTCAAAGAGATTTTAAGGCCGTTTTAATCTGCTTTTTTCTGAAAACAAGTATTGGAATTGCTATAAACACATTTATTAATTTGATATTCAGGACACATAGCTTATAGTTAATTGCATCAGATACCTCATTCTAATCAGCATGTAATTGCTAACTTTTGTAGACAGATAGAAAATGCAGCATTATATAATCAATTTTTCCTGTGCTTATTGATTGCTTACTAGATGTTAATACAAAAGTGTCTGAGTAAAATTAAAAGGTATTATTTGAATTACACATGTGCTCCAAAGCAATTTGTTTAAACGGTGGTGCAATAGCAAAATGGAAGACAATATTTAGTATAAGAAGTAAAATGTGATGAACATTAGGTCTCAAGCATAAACAGATAACCACAGAGGTTCGGTCATATCTTCCTTCCCTGAGAATTAGGAAGAGAAAAATGGAACTTCTTCCAGTGATGAAATTACTGGAAGTATGATACTGGAGATTGTGATTCTTGCATTGTTATTGAAAAATAATTTTTGGGGAATACTCCTTTATTCTTCAATTGACCAAATGACTGATAATAGAAGAAAAAGACACCAGAATCATAGTGGATTGTTCCATGAAGATGTCCATTTAATACAGAGGAGTTGCAAATCATTAGTGGGAGGATTTACACATACTGCATATAGTTTAGTTGTCCTATTTGAAGAAGATATAGGTAGCCAAAGTGATTGGAATACTTAAGCATCTTCTTAGCAAGAAAGGGCTATCTTAGACTATGGAGATGACCAAGGTACAGTATATACAATTATGCATGGATCTGAGAAACAATATGGAATCCCTTTTAATTTAGGACATTCATTTTTCATTGTAGGGTGTTCACAAGCAGAAGTTAAAAAATATGCACCTCTCTCACCATAAATTATCCAGTGAAGCTGATTGGAAGGAGATTTAAGATTTAAGAATTTTATTCAGGATAATAACTTGTGGAATTCATCAGTATTGAACATAGTTAAAGTCATTTTTTTTTAAATAAAAGGGAATTGGATAAATTCATGAAAGGCAGGACAATTACGCCTTGCAGATTCAACATTATCTCTAAGGAGTAATATGCCTCCAAATTCAATTTGAAGGGAAGAATGGTGAGATGGGAGAATGTCTTTATCTTCTGCTTTGGGCATCTTATTTTGAAAAACAAAAGTCCTTAATTAAGAGGGACTCCTTATCTTTGACATAGACATAGAATTGTTTTTATGCTGCTACTTCTTCAAGTATGTTCTTTTTGGAAACCATCCCTAAGTATTGCTGACATACAGTGGATGTGGAGGTTTCCTCAAAGTTGTTTAGTGAAGCCTCTGGGTAACAGTGAAAATGTTTTGTGAAAGCGTAGTTTGAAAAAATGAATTTTTTAAAGCTAGGAATTCTGGTTTCTGTTTTTGTTTTTCCTTTTGGTCTTTCCCATTGCATTTGTATTATGAAATTAATATCTGCTTTGCCTTGATTTTTATAACCAGAAATGAAAGATTATAGTTTGAGCTAGTTTGATCTCATTTTGATTGTGTATTTTTGTTGCATCCTAGGCTGCCTCTTTGAAGATGATCTCTGCAAAACTTATGAAATCTGTGTAAATGGTAAGTCTCTGAATTATGTGCATGTTTTTTTCTGAATGCTTTATACATTGATGCTTATTCAATTGAAAATATATATATTTGTGTTCCATCAAGAAAATTGTTGCAGAAGAGCTAATAATGGGTTTTTATCTTTTTGGGCGTTGATGACAAGAGGAACTGATGTAATCACTATTTAATACTATAGGATACTGGCTATGTATAGTATACATGTGATTGTATGTTATGAAAATGGAAAATAAAAAAGCATACGGGGAAAAAAGAGAAAATTGTTCGTTTAGTAGGCAATGAAAGTTTTGTTTTGTAACAATTATTAGCTGATAGCCTGTCCAAGAAGGGAGAGCAGAAGCCAGATCTATAATCATTCCTTTTAAAAAAATACATGTATTCTGCTCACAATCTGGTTACCTAAATTTTACCTTAAATAATTAAGTAATTCTTCCAGTTGGAGAGATCAGGCATGTCAGGTGAAGAAGTAATTCCTAGCCCAATGACAATTTTATCTTATTTTGTATTTATACATCTCCTGCCTTCTTCTGCTAACTGTTAAATCATGAAGTTGGTCCCAAAATATTGCAAAGAATGTAGGTGTTTCAATGTGGTGTACTATCACAATACAACAAGAAACTCTACTTTTGCTTTGTTTTCTACAGAAGGCTTTGGCAAATCTATGCCAGAACTGTCTTGGGCATTATATGGATCCTGGACAGTGGTGGGTTCCGGATCCCATTCCAACCAGTACGGTTGGAATGGGCCCGGTGGTATCCACATGGATGCGCGCAGCGCACGTGCATGCATCTTAGTGCCTCTGCGAGCCTCCGCAATACTCCAGCTGCTCAGCGGAGCATCACACAGGCACTGTATGCGCTATGCATATGTGCGGAAGCGCAGAAAACTTAAAAGACAGGTAAGGAGCTCGGGCGGGCGGCCCTCCGGAGCACTGTACCGGAATGGTATCCGGTGCTCTGGGCTGGCTCCAGTACGCCCGTACCAGGGCGTAATGCTTGCAACCCACCAATGGTCCTGGGTCATGACTTCATGAGGGTTCCTTGGTGCTCTCTGAGCTTGTTTGTTTTCTTGCAGATGTTTCATTACCCAAACTAGATAATGTCATAAAGTGACTTCATAAAGAAGACCATGTAAAGTTCTTGCCTTCTTCTGAATGACGTTTTGAGCCTCTTGTAATCCTGTTACAGGAAACAGCGTTTCTTAATATTAGAAAGACTAATTTGGTGCTCTTGTCTATGTATGAATGAAATCAAGGTTGAATTTGGCTCAGTTAGTCCAAAATATTGTTTGTGTGTGTGAGAGAGAGAGGGGGGAGGGGAGGGAGAGAGATGAGAGAGAGGGCAGGCATTTAATAGATAAAGGCTTTCAACTCACAACAGCCACTTGAGCACCAAGACAAGCTGTTGGCTGTGACTACACAATTGAAACCATATTCTTTTAAAATCATCATTATTTGTGCACATGGCATGTTAAATGGGTAGGACTTCATGGCTGTCACCTTGATTTTTTTCCCCCTCCTCCCCTATATATGGTTTCATGAGGACACCAAAGACTATAACACAAAAGACCATAACACTGAAATCTTTTTAGATATTCAAAATATACTATTTGGAAGATGAAGAGAATGACAGTACTCATTAAACAGAAATGTATTAAGGTTAAATAAATTATATGTCGTATATTAAAATGTGATTTATTTCAAAACAAAACTTTTCCCCCCTGTCACTTTGGGCACCTATCTGGCAACATTTTTCATTAACTATTACATCAATATCTGGTTTGATGTAAAAATGACATTGGCAGTTCTCTTTAAGACGGTGGGGGAAGGAGGGAGACCAGGTTATGTCTTCAATTTGTCATGTTTTAGTCTCTCAATAAATGGCCATGGAAATATAGCTCAATTTTAGATTATTTTTATATGACTTAAGATTGGAAGGCAACCTGAGAGTAGATATAGAGGCAGATATAGAGAATAAAGAGAGTGTTACACATGAGATAATCTTGAGTGAGATATGCAGGAAATTTTATTCAGGCAATAGGGTTGAAACATTTTTAAAGTCCAGAATAATGAACACCTCTCTAATTTACTGAACGAAGGAAGACAGAGGAGGAGGGGTAGAATAATGAGATCTGCAAGAGTCTGTATTCTAGCTATTATATAATAATATATAGACACACACACAAATAGATCTATACTAGTCTCCCTTTATTTATTTATCAGCACAAATACTATATAGATAGATAGATAGATAGATAGATAGATAGATAGATAGATAGATAGATATAGATATAGATATAGATATAGATATAGATATAGATATAGATATAGATATAGATATAGATATAGATATGGTGAATGATGGATGATAGATAAATA